GTTTATTAGTTGATACTATGTACACCTTAATTGTGTTGACTTTTGTGTGAAATAACTGTAAATCCGCCTATAATAACTTAATTTGTATTTGGTCCATCGAGCCGGATTGTAGTAATCTTGAAATTTATTCTGTGTAGAGCTTCCACTTTAGTTCTACTTTAAACAAGCTCAAGTAGTATTTGGTCCATCGAGCCGGATTGTAGTAATCTTGAAATTTATATTGTGTAGAGCTTCCACTTTAGTTCTACTTTAAACAAGCTCAAGCAGTATTTGGTCCATCGAGCCTGATTTTTATAATTTCAACATTCAACTTATTTCACTTTATAGACTTTGTCTGCCCTGAAAGATTAATATTAAACTCCATTGTCATGTATACGACAAGAATTTGAAATTCACAAAACAGCCGCTTTTTTCGGCACCAAAACGCCTCTCAAGGTGCCACAAGCTGCCGGGCCGTATCAAATCGGGATCTGCGGCATTATATACATACGTGGCACGACAAGGCGGCGTAGGCAGAACAAACGATGTATTAAACATGAACCTGGCGACAACTTTTGCTGCCGCGTATTTTTTTGCCCAGATTGTCATCAATTCACGCCCCAATTTAAGCGTTAGCCGTTTTTGGTAACCACTGACTATGTACGGAATTTTCAACGTACAATAGTACGGACTACAATACAAATTGGCCGAAGGTTAAATATAAAAACGCTCTTGCCAGTGCAAGAATGGAACAAGCTAACCATAATTCTACCAAGTATCTATGATTACAGAGTGATTGGACACTATTACCATTAGCAAAACAAATGTGGATAATCATTCAGATATTGTAATAAATATTTTTTAGTTGTTTATCGTTCTCTTGGGCAAGGTAAATTATGAAAATCAAAAAAGACAAAGAAAAGCTAAGTTAGCGATGGTGATGAAAATATTCATCATCATCATAAGGTCGTCAGTTATAAGACTGGTTGGACACACACTTCCACTCCTTCCTATCCTGAGCTAATCTTCGCATTTCCCGAAAATTAGAACCACCCATATCCTTAACTATTTGCGCACAGTAATTTTCTAGGTCTACCTCTACCTCTCCTAACTTCCGTTTCTGTCTCTAATATGTCTCTGATTAGACCTTCAGCCTGAGAAGGTGTCCTACCAACTTATCTCGTCTATTTATTATTGACTTCCATAGAGTCCTCTGTTCTCCTACTCTTTCTAATATCTATTCATTTCTAACCTTCTCTATCCTGGTATCCTCATCATTCGCTTGTAACAATTCATTTCGAACGCTTCTAACCTTTTCTTTTCCGCCGCGCTCACTGTCCATATTTCGTACCCGTACAGTGCCGTGCTCCAAACATACACCTTTAACAACCTTTTTCGAATTCCTAAATTAATCATTCGCGAGCATAGAAGTGAGTTTTTTTTATTGAAGGCGACTCTACCCTGCCCTATCCTCTGCTCTATATTCCTACAAATCTTTCGTCTCCTATTATTACATTCGCTCTTTCCCTACGTTTTCTGCCGTGCATATCGGTATTTTTGTTTTACTTTTATTGACTTTCAGTTGCTTTATATCTCTTCTACTCCTTCCGCCCTGACTTATCTGACTTCCTAGATACCTAAAATCGGCCACTTCATCTAATTTTTCGTCTCGTATGTTTATATTCGCTCTTACCCTACCTTTTCTTCACTTGCATACTAGTACTTTTGTTTTAATTTTTTTTTATTTTTATACAATACTGTTTTGTCAATACCGCTTCCATTTTATGAAAATATTGGTATTTATAGATTTAGGTTTACTGTTGGTATTGCTTAAGGATTTTTCGTCTTAGAATTAGTGATTTACAGCCAAGTCTTATATCCTTTTGCTATTTATGTACATCAGTCTTATTTAATTGGAATGTATTGAGAGATATTGTGTGGTCAAGAATGATTAAGAATAATTTTTCTGCCATATTTATCATTATGACTGTATCTCCATCAATTTATATCTTACATTATTTCGCTAATGTTTTATTACTTACCTAATGACAACTTTATGCATATTATTTGCAAAATTTCATCAATTTATTGAACTGGAGAGTCTTTTGCAGATGGACTCTTGAACTTGATATTGACATTCTAGCCGTTGATCTTGCAGATTAATCATGGCCTTCGTGCTGTAGATTGAATAGTGGTTTTGAGCTTGCAAACTGAACCTTAATTTTGCTCTTCATCGTAAGAAGGTTGTCAGTCTTAAGACTGGTTGGGCACGCACCTTCACATTTTGCTATTCTGAGCTAATCTTCGCATTTGCCTAAAACTAGAACATCTCACATCCTTAACTACTTATAAACAGTAATCTAATCTAGGTCTACCTCACTTCTTGTAACTCCTATTTCTGCTTCTAATACGTCTCTAACTAGATCTTCATGCCTCCTGTTCTTTCTAATATCTCCTTATTTCTATCATTCGCATGTAACACCATATTTCAAAAGCTTTTTTCTCCACTGCGCTCACCGTTCATGTTTTTATTTTATTTTTTTTTGAATTTCTAATTAACTGTTCGCGAACATAGAAGTGACTTCTTTTTCTTAAAGACGACTCGATCGTACGCCATCCTCTATTTTATTATCTACTGCTTCTTCCATCATGATATATCTGACTTCCTATAGATATTGAATCACCTATATTTATATTTGCTCTTTCCCTACTGTTTCTTCACTTGCATACCATTTTTTTTTTAGTTCTAAATTCAGTCTTGATCCTAAGCTTATTAATCTTGTGTTTAAGTATGATTAAAAACTTTCTTATTAATAGCTACAATGGAATATCATGTGTTATAATTCGTTTAGAATCTCATGAATGCCCGTTTCTTAATTTCTAAATTTCAACCTCATTGTTTGTGTTTTATCTGAAACATTAGTCCTGGTTGTAAAGCGAGGCACAGGGTTAACTTCTGAATTAATATTAAAAAAAGGAACACCCCTCCGTCCGTGTTAATACTTATCAGATTTTAACTTATCAATTTGTAATGTACACGGTAAATTTTGCAATCTTTGTCGGTAATATGCAATATGGACACACGCATGCACTATAAATAGATACATAAATAGCAATAGCACGTCTGTCTTTTCTATGAGCGAACAAAAGCCTTTGTTTGTTCGGTATGTCGCATCGGCCAGTAAATAAAACGGCCGATTACAAAGGAAGAAAATGCATTCTCCGTATTTGTCCACGTTGCGTAAAATACCAATGAACTTTTGCAGCGACATGTGTTTGAGAACCGTTTTCCGCAACTGCCTTTTAAAGAAAATAATTGCTCATTGTTACTCACGTGAAAGATGTCGACGTTACTGTCAACATGGTCTTATTGACGGGTATAACCAAATTACAACGAATCGGGTATGTTACCTAAAGGCTCTATAATAAATAAATTAACTTACTGTAAAATTACTGCGAAATTGTATTTACCTCGTCGATATAGCCTATAGTAGAAATGCACCGGATTGTGATTTTGCTGGGTACCGGATAAACGGTTACGCGGCATTAGTTGTGCCGGTACTCGCGCAAAGTCACTTAAGGTAATGGTTCATTCAACACTAAACAAATCAAACCTTAATTCTTGGTTGACGGATTTTTCAGTCAAAACCGTTTAAAAAGGGTCTACAAAAAAGTCCGGGATGGTATATGTCCATCTCTTAGGGATAACCCACAATAACCATTTTTATCCTTTAGTTTTTATGAGAAATAATGACTTATTTACGAAGCGATTGTAAGTAATACAGCATTAATTCCTTAAATACATTGTGCATTTAATGTAGATCAATATGGCCCTTTACAGCATGTAATTTAAATGAATATTTTCGAAGATATTACAGATTTAAAATGCAGGGACATAGCGGTTACGGCGGTACCGACCGAGGGCCCGGTTTGTATTGTCTAATGACAAAAAAACTGTGAATGTTGTATATAAAGACATGCTGTAGTATATTTAGTATGTTCAGGGGGTATCTTTTGAAGATTTCCCCTTCTCGATAATAATCTAAAGAAAACAAAAATATATTTAGTATCAGCATTGCACCCGTGCGAAGCTGGGGCGGGTCGCTAGTTTATAATATAATTTAATGTTTGTGCTAAATGAATTCCTTGAAAATTTGCATAAATACTTGTGAATAACGAAAATGTTTTTCTTTTTGGCGCCAAAAGATATTTTTATTTTTAAAATTCTTTTTGATCATAGGAGTCCCCGGGAAAATATAAAGAAATTTCGATGAACAAACTAGAAAATAAAAATAAATTCATCTGGCAACGCTGATTTCTGCTGATTTGCTCCTTGGTACCGTAATAAACAAGAAGGATTTTCATTCCAAAAATTTCTCACCCCCTATATGATTAAGATCTCAAAATTTTTCATCTAAAACAGCAGATGTCAACAAGTAGGCTCTATACTATACGAAATTTCTAATCGATAGGATTAGTAGTTACTAAAAGAAAGATTTATTTGCAGTTTTTTAACTCTAAAAACATAACTTATCAAGAAACAAATCCTTTTATATCACAATATCTCTTAACTACCTACATTAAACATTGCTTGTGTGATCTATGTTACCTATGCAAAGAGTTGTGATCAGCGCATGCGGTGCCAACAACAAGAAGCCAGAATGTCGAGAGTTATTACACCTAATCGGAAACGCACAAGTAATCGCGGAAAATAGTGTTTAAAAGTTTACAAAAAATACCAAAAAGGCGTGCATTATATTCAGATAGGATGTTTAATAATGTTGTAATCGTTAAAACAGTCGAATAAATTCATCAGTAAGAGTATTATTCAAAATTAGCGTTGATCTTAATGGCGATGGCTATCGTACGAAGCCTGGTCTATCATACGATTATTATTATTCGGTAGGTACATCTATTGCGTATGCGCAAAGTTCAGTGTTCTGTTCGGCGAAGAAATATTCATTGTTTGGTTATTTAAAGCTTGAAATTTGCTATTATTTTATTGCTAATACATATTTATTTACGATAAAATTTCAATAATGCGTATTCCGGTGTCGCGTTTTCGCGAGTGTTTATGATCGGAGTGCATTCTGCAGTTTTGATGTTGCTGTTTAAGTACCTGTAAGTTGTTATTCAATTTATTATCTTCTTTATAGTAATATCTTATTAATCGAACTACTTATGAAAAACTGTACTTGATGTGGTAATAATAAAAACATTTATATTTAAAATCCCTGAAAGACAAAAACTACCACAAAATTATAAAACATTGAAACCTTGCAAATTTTAGGTTCCATTTTTAAAGGCAAAGGTAAAGTGCTGGGTTTTTGATTTTCCTTTATAATTATGCTAATTAAAATTATATGTATTTTTTATAGATTATTACCAATAAAGAATTATCAAATCAAAAAGTACCTAGACGAATTATACTGCTTAGAATTATATATTATACATTAATAGGTTATTAATTATAATATCATTATTGTTTATGTAATAATGATTTATAAATTTGAACACATAATGAATAAAAATCAAGTACCATAAGGTTTCAGAGAAAAATTATAAATTGATTTTTGTTACGCTGATGCTATATTAAATTTAAATAAACTGTTTAAAAAACCAACCTACATAGGGTAAGTACATATTATTGAAACTTATAAACCAGGTAATTAAAGGTTAAATTTCCTTTCCAAAATAATGAATTTGGTTTTGTTGATATTCAATCTTTACAAATATTGTCAATGTTCGCGTTTGATGATAACGGAGTTCAATTCGTCTGTAGACATTTTTCAGTAGTAACAAAATGTTATGTTCTGTAATTTATTTATTGTGCATATAATACTTGTACATATTTTTATAACTGGAATATAATTTTGAAATAGACACAACTGAATAATTTTAATTAATTAATAATAACGTTTACGTTTTACAACGACAATCAGACAATGATGATGCCGTTGTTTTAATTGTTCGTTGAAGTTATTATTAAAACAGCTTCCAGGAAGATAATTTTCTAACTTTTAGACTAAAAAGTCATAGTCAAGTGTTAGCCAAGCTACTGGAAAAATGATTAAAAATGTTTATGATGTAATAAAAAAGGTGAATTTTAACGAATTATTTGATTATAAAATTCGTTCAAATACACCTACTCTTGGTTGTTAATAGAGCTATTCTTTTCGAAAGAATTGCAAATTTCTGCATAGAATTATAAAAAGTTAATAATTATAATGTGGTAGATCTCGCCAAAATTGAATTCTTTGAATATCCCTTCAAAAGTGATTTAGCAGTATATCAAATTTCAGAATTCTATTTGGAAAATATTGAGGAAAAGTCGTATTCAGGGTTAGGTAAATATTTGAAAGGTTTTGATACCTCCGGAATCGCCTTTTACAAATCCTGTATACCTTTAAACCAAAGTTATCATTTTATTTTTCGTCATCATAAGGTCGCCAGTCCTAAGGCTGGTTGGACACGCACCTCCACTCTCTCCATCCTGAGCTAATCTTCGCATTTCCTTAAAACTAGAACATCCTTAACTATTTGTGAAAAGTAATCTAATCCAAGTCTACCTCTATCCCTGGTAACTTCTCTTCCTGTTTCTAATATGTTTCTGACTAACCCTTCATGTCTGAGAAGGTGTCCAAAGAGTCCTCTACTTTTATTTATTTTCATACAATACTGTTTTGTCAATACCGCTTCCATTTTATTTAAAGCTATCTCAAACTCCTTCTTGCTAGATGCTAATACTATATCTATATCTATCCCTACAGTTGTACTGTCTTTAATGATGTTGATCGCCTCTTCGATGTATAGATTAAAAAGTGTGCAACCCTGTCTGACTCCCTTCCTAATATTTACTTCTCTACGTTGCAGCCCCATCTCTATGACTGCCTGTTTTTTTTAATACAAACTAACTATCACTCTTTTATCCCTGTAACTCATCCCTACATTTTCAAATATATTTAAACTCTTGTCCAATTTAACATTGTCAAAAGCTTTTTTTAAATCTACAAATCCTATCTAGGCGCTCTTTCGTTTTTCTACTAGCTAGAATGGCCTCCCGCGTTCCTTTATTTCTTTTAAACCCAAATTTATCTTCCCCTAATAGTTCTTCCTTCACTGTACAATTCTAGTTAAGATTTTTGACGCATAGGAAGTTAAGCTAATTGCTCTAAATGTCGCACCTATCCGCGCCTCTCTTTTTAGGTATGGCTACTACCATGTTCCGTTTATAATCCTCTGGGACATTCCTGGTCTCGTAAATGTGATTAACTACCTTAAACAGACGATCTCTAACCTCTTGTCCTGTATGTTTTAAAATTTCCACCTGTATCCCATCTATACCTGGTGCCTTGTCATTCTTTAAGTTTTTTAATGCTACATATTTTATTATATTTGTTTAAAACTCTATCAAAGTAGGCATATGTCGTTGTGTATTTAAAAAAAGCAGGTGTAGAAGAAGATGCATCTCGAGTAACCTTTGTAACTAACCTACGCCCCCGCTCTAGTCGTGCCCAACCGAGCTCATCCGCGCGCAACAAATCTGAGACCAGATGTTTCTCCCGTAATGCTGTGATGTTACATCGTATGAAGTCATAATTCCACTTGGGATTATCTTTTGCGTCAATTTCACATACATGTATACGTGAGGTACAGTGTGAGAATTTTTCATGAATTCGCTTAAAAGAAACTTTATCGTAGTAAATATTACTAACCTAACCGTTCATCGAGAATCATTCAGATATGCAGTTAAGTCTGACCTGGATGGGCTAAAGCGTATTCATGCGTATTGTAATGTTCGTGGGTTTAACAAATTAACTTTTAAGAAGAAAACTATTTATTTACACTAATTATTATTGAACTTAAAAACACTATTAAATTATTACTAAACTTAGGTAATTATTCTGTTTATTTACACTACTGTTACTATTCCCTGTTCTATATTTTTCACTTCTATCACTGTCAATTTATCTCTTGATTCACTTCTGCAACGGTCAATTTATTTCTACTCTACTCGGCGATCATCTCTTCCTTTAAATACTCTTTTGGTCCCTTTCGGGAACTTTCTCGAGCCGTCTGGAAAAGTCTCGTTTTCTTTGAACTGTTTAATTGCTTTCCCGGAACGCAGGTACGACACACACGTTTACAAATACGGCGCACATGAAGAAAGGCGCCCGCGGCTACCCGGCGAATCGATAAGCCGCTCACACACACGTATGCCCGATCGCACACAAACACGCTCGTGCTCGCTACAGTATAATGTTTTAGCGCATGTGGTAGCCATCTTTAACGATGAGCAGAGCAAATCTAAGACTGTCCTAGTCCTAGTCTGTACGAGTGCGTAACATGGACGCTAGACGCGTCGGAAAAGAAAAGGTTAGAAATGTGGTGTCATAAGCGAATGATGAGGATACGGTGGATGGAGAAGGTTAGAAATGAAAAGGTATTAGAAAGAATGGGAGAATAGAGGACTCTATGGAAGTCAATAAGAAATAGGCGAAATAGGTTGGTAGGATACCTTCTCAGACATGAAGATCTAGTTAGAGACATATTAGAAGCAAAAAACAGGAGTTAGGAGTGGTAGAGGTAGACCTAGATTAGATTACTGTTCGGAAATAGTTAAGGAGGTGGAATGTTGTAGTTTTCGGGGAGATGCGAAAATTAGCTCAGGATAGGAAAGAGTGGAGTTACGTGTCCAACCAGTCTTAGGACTGACGAGCTTATGATGATGATGATAGTGAGTGTTGAATCGAGTAAACAAACTGAAAATTTCAAATACTAGAAATGTTTTATTCCAAGAAAACAATATTATGTATTAAAGTTGTTTGAAATAGTTTAACTCATAAATCCACCGACAGTAATAATTTTTCATCTGGTCTTGCATATTTGATCTTAGTCTTGTATATTCAGGGTCTCTATTTTAGTCTTGACTTTGTTCGTTCGGTCTTGGTTTTGGTCTTGTTAGTATAAAGTCTGCAAGACCAAAACGAATTGTGCTTATCACTAGTCATCCTGAATATGATCATAATTTTTATATAACGTAAAATTTGAAACCGCAGCATTGAACTTCAGATAATCTAAGGAGTTTTCTTCATGCAATTTTGCATAATTTCATGGGTCGCTTTTATTTAATGATGCAAAAATATGTATGTATTACTTAGTCAAAATCAACTTGAACGTAATTATCAAATTACACACCCAAGAAAATTTTACTCCCTGCTGAAGTGGGGCAAATGTAGAAAGCTCACGATGGAGAGCGGGGGAATTATCGCTTTTAAGGAATTTAAGACGTTTTCGATTATATGAAACATAAAATCTAAAACGGTGTAACCCGTGCAAAAAGGAAATCTAAACAGTAGTGACTTTTACAGATGGGGTAATTTCGTAATTAAGTATTTTAGGAGAACAGTTATTAACCGAATTAACAAGCATTCCGATGGTAACATTATAATATCGAAACATGACAGTACTTTTCAAAGTAATCATCATCATAAGGTCGTCAGTCCTAAGACTGGCTGGACACGTACCTCCACTCTTTCCTATCCTGAGCTAAACTTCGCATTTCCCTTAAACTACAACAGCCCACATCCCTAACTATTTGTGAACAGTAATCTAATCTAGGTCTACCTTTACCCTGTTTCTGCCTCTAATATGTCTCTTACTAGACCTTCATGCCTGAGAAGGTGTCCTATCAACCTATCTCGCCTATTTTTTATTGACTTCCATAGAGTCCTCTGTTCTCCTATTCTTTTCAATACCTCTTCATTTTTAACCTTTTCTACCCACGTTATCCTTATCATCCGCCTATAACACCACATTCGTGGTGTGGCATTTAATATGACAGAATTAAATGAAAATTTTAGCATTAATTCTTTAATCATTTAAAAAGATACTTACATGTTTTGCAGACTGATTGGGAATCGTGTTATATTTAATTAAAAAATAATAACTTGTAAATGAACTGGAATATGACGTAGAATAACGGAAAAAAAAGGAAAACAAAATCGATTATTCATTGAATCACATAAGTATACTTACATGCCCAATACACAGACGTCCACTTATGTTTGAGATTACTTGTTCGTTACAAATCAGGCCATCGTCGGAATAAAATGATGCAC